ACACACACACACACACACACACACACACACACACACACACACACACACACACACACACACACACACAAAAACAACAGCAACAACAACAACAACAAAAACAAAAAGCAAATAAAACGGTTAACTTTGTGTGGATGGATCTTTATCATTGATGTCACCAACATTCAACAATGAATCTTTTAACTAACTAGAAGCACTCAGAGAGTGTAAACCTCCGCCAAGTCCAATTCCCCCATCCTGTAAGAGTTAATGCACAAAAACAGAGATGGAAACACATTTGCCGATGAAGTTCTGACGTAGCGAACATTTAAGCAGGCAGTATGCATGTGGAGACCAATGTGAAAAAACAAAAATCAGACTCGTCACCCGACGTTATTCATCGTCAAACTGGTCTCAGATTAAGCTCCTAAGCCAGGATTATTCAACTGAACTGCTCTGGGGGCCACAGTTACTGCAGGTCAACAGCTTAGGGGCCGAACATCCAGCAATTAAATTTGTTATATAAATAAATTAAGTATTATAAATATCTGTTACCTTTATTTTGCTGCATTTAATCATGATTACAACATACAGAACCCTGTAAAAGTAGTGATAAATAAACAATATCAAGAACTAAAAGAACACGTATTTGACACAAATATTATTTTGACATCTCTGACTTGCCAAATTTTTAAACCAATTTTATTTTCACTTTGATAGTTTTATCTTCAACTCCTTGTCATTTTAACTGTCTTTGGTGCGCATAGAAATGGTTTTTACCAGCTTGTAGCCAAGATTCTGACGGTTCTGTAGATACCAAACATGTCTATGTCTAACTAAAAGAAAAAGTAATTAAAGTAGAAAACTGGGGGTTTGAGCTTAAGAAATGAATGAATCAATTGGCGGACCAAATTTTTGTCTCTCGCGGGCCGGATGTGGCCCGCGGACCGCCAGTTGAATAGCCCTGTCCTAAGTCTTCATCAGTCACATTCCACTGTGTAAAACGTCTGTTTAATCCCCTTTTATGATTCTGTAATGGTTTGACAGTCTTAATGAAGTGCTTCCTGGTACAGTCAGCTTATGAAGGTTTTCTTTATTTATTTATTTTTTTGAAGCGAGAAGCAAAATACAGCGTGTGAGCGCTTTCAGCATTAAAACATTACCTCCTCCCCCCTTGGCGCACACACACACACTGTCTGGTCCAAGAACCAACCCGCTAGCTTCCAAAATGCAAAAATAAATCTGTTCTCCTCCCGTGTCCAGACTTTGAGGGCCGGCCAGAAGCTCTCTGCAAGGCTAGTGAGTAACCCTTGGCTGCAGACCGCGGCATGGGGCGGGGTCAGACGTCCGACCCCGCCCTCAACTCAAAAATTAACCAACCCCAGATGCTAAATACTAAAATTAACCACGCCCAATTTTTTAAACCTCCTATTAAACTTCCCTGCAAGCCATGACCCACACCCATTGGACGTCCGACCCCGTCTGCAGTCTGCAGCGGTGGGTACTTGAGGCTATTCCCGAGAAACTGGTTTGATTGGTTGTTTGGGAAATGTGGTGTGTTTGAGGAAACGGGAAAAATGGGTTTCATGGTGCAATCACGCACCTCCTGGTCACACAACAGTCTCTAATTGCTTACCAAATGCGTAAAAATGCGCACATTATGGAAAAAAATATTCATCATTAAATTTGGTTTTATTTGGAAGTAAACTGTTCAGTCCAGTTCAAATGAACACTGAAAGCTGTCACTGTTTTTTACTGAAGCCCTGTCARTGCATCACAGCTTTCGAGCTCAGAGGGTTAAAAGAAATTAAAAAAAAAAAAAAAAATCCTGCATCCACATCGTGATCCAGAACCTCACCAAAATTTACAGGTGTGTTACTTTGGCTAATCCCCACATGTGGTAAAAATGCCATGACAACCCGTCCTCAGGTTCTTGAATAATTTTGTCCACAGACAGAACAACAGAACGACAGACAGACAGACAGACAGACAGACAGACAGACAGACAGACAGACGAGACTGAAAACATTACCTCCTTGGCGGAGGTAATAACATGACAGTGTTTATCGGATGTTTTCAAGTTAAACTAAATATTCACAATGAACTGCAGCCTTGGGAATTACAGAATTCATCATAACCACTTAGAAAAACAAACACAAATTTGCCCACTATGGAGGCAGAATTGAAATGGCTGGGGAGCAGCTAAAGACTTTTGTACAGTGATTTCTTTCCTTTTTTTAATTTATAAAGACGTAAGAACTTCAGAAGCACATGCTGAAATATGGTCAAACTGGGATTAAACCAGCATCCTAACTACTTGGCGGGACATTTTAATTCAATCCAGTGGCGTCACTAGGCCTATTTTAGGGGGGCTGGAGCCCCCTAAATTATTTTGATGTAACATATATATAAATACACACACACACACACACACACACACACATATATATATATACACACAATATGAATTTAATATACAAAAATTCTGTGCGTCTCCTGGGGGCTRAGCCCCACTTGTCCTTAAAACCTAGCGACACCCCTGATTCAATCAATCATTAAATGAACTACATTTTGATCATTGATTGATGCCAGCAGCATTGTGTTGCCTCCTGGAACAGTTCTTGGCAGCATTTTCTTACATTGATCTGTTCTTTGTGCAGTCAGCTTATGGAAGTTTCATTTAGGCATGGCAAGGTTTTGATTTTTATCTTTTTTCCTTCCATAAAATGTTCTACCTGCTCAGAGGAACGGAACTTAAATGGACTGGTTGCTTATCAGACAGGAAACCAAATCCATGGTCAAAGTGTCTGACTTCCTGCCCCTGATCTGGATCTCTTGTTGCTCTTAAGGACTCTAGGCTCCWGTCCATTTCCATGCATATTAAAAAACACCAGCAGTTAGTAAACAGGGTAATTGGGACTGAATGGAACGATTGAACAGATATTCTTCAAAAAGCTGCGGTCTGTGGGAATGTGGGTTTTGGAMCGCTGCGACACAGAACATCACACATTGAATGTACACTTCCAATTTAKAATTTGGTCTTCAGTAGAACACATTTTATTGGCCATAATCTAAAAATGATGGATTAGATTTAATGCAGGATGTTAAACAAAATGCAATCCTGAGGCATTTGCATGTGAGAAATTTCCTCAAACATCCAAAGACTAAAAGAAAGACACTGTAATTCACCTCACCTGCTTTTGCAGCACTTCATAAGATGTGATAAATGATTTGTTTATGTCCCTGAAATTGACTGGACRATACTGTCATGATTTTAATCACAGCCATGAAAGCAAATGGGTCATATTAGGACTTGGATCCTACAGAATATTTTAACAGTGATCCCCCCAGACCACCCAAAGCTTAAAGGACTGAGAGGTTGTTTGCGTTTAAGCAATCAAMCTCTGCGTGGCAGAAATGATGTCGACATCTGAACTCCCCCTGGAGGACGTTCTTGAACTCCCTGAAGTCACTAAMCAACACAGATGTGCATTTTTACACACAGACCCAAAGGCTTTTGAGCATTTGGTGAAAATATTTCCCTGAAAACAAGACATGCATCAAAAACAMCACAGGAAAAATAAATATATACATATTTTCAAGTTATCACTGACTGTTTTGGCAGTAAAAGTCTCTTCTTTAACTGTCCGTCTCCCAAGGCCCTGTAAAAGGCCCAAAAATACAGCCAAATCATACACTTTATAATCATTTATTAGTAACTAAAGCTTATTTTTAAAAATCTAATAGTGATAGTTTTCCAGTGGATAACAGCTTTTACCAGTCCAAAATGAAATATGTCATCAAGAGGCAGAAGGACAGTGCATATCCATATAAGGGGATATGGATAAGAGTGCCTTGCTTTGCCTTACGTTACATTTATTCCAAGAATGTGAGGTCCCAACTGATTTATCAAAAAGCTACATATCCTAATTTCTAGGGAAATAATCCAGAAACAATAAGGTTTTAAAAAGAAACAGGAAGACTCGTCCAAGTTTAATAAACAGAAAACTGTGTTTTAATTTCCATCAACAATGTTGCAATAATAATTATTAAAATTAATTACTATATTTCTGTGGGGTTAGACATGATTGGAATGAGGACCAGGGCGCCGAAATCTAATGAGGGCAAGCTGGTGAACGGGAGAGAGACACTTCGACTGCGCTCCAAGGGTGCTGCTACAGTTCAGGAAGTGGTGAGTTTCACACGCCCGTCACACAACGACTGCTGGGACTTCCTAATGTGGTCAGAGAGCAACACGTGCACACAGGCACACAAACAGGGAGAACGAAAAGTCCTTCTGCACCTCGCAGCTCTGTGTTTCATATCTTTTGACTTGGACGTTCTGTACATAATTATTTACTCTAAAAGTTCATGCGGTACAGTTTAGACCTGACCTGAACGAAGTGCTCTAAAAATAATCCACTTTTGCCTAAAAATAAACAAAGTAACCACTTTCCAAAGCCTCTGCACAAAAACTGTTWACTTGTATCACAGTAGAGTGCAGGCGGAGAGACACACTGAGCTCAAAAGATAAAATGAAAGCATATTTATTTAAACAAAACAAAAAGGCTGATGTGGCAGAAAAACTTACAAAATACAAGAATCGATAAGAGACACAAGGAGGGTCAGCAACTGCTGGTTAAACCAGACAATGAACCACTGAGGTGGCAATAGAAGGAGACTGAATATAAAAAGGAATAAGGCTGATGAGATACGGAAAACAATCACGTCTTAGATTTGGACACACTGGATTAAACAAACATTACTTATTATACGAAAACGTAATACAGGAAAACGTGAGTACTGTGGAGAACATGAAGATGTAGAATGTGTATTATTACACTGCCAAAATTACAGAAATGAAAGAATTCAATGGATTAATAGACTCRAAGAAAAGAAAATAAGGTTAGATCATTTAGAAATATTAAGCGGATATTCAAAATCAGAATGTACTCTCGCCTTAATTCAGTACTTGAACCAAACTYACTTGTTTGAAAGAATATCAGGGTTTTTTTTAGTGTTGATTCAGACCACACCAGTAGGTGGTGGTAATGTACCTTATAGTTGTTTGCCAACCGCCAGAAGAAGAAGAAGAAATGGGAGACAGCTGAGCTGATTGGGGTGTAGCAACAGGTGTGAGTGGCAGACTGACTGAAGGAGAGAYGAGAACTGACACAAGGAATACTCTGAACAGAGACACAAGGGCAAAGGATTAAAACTGCAGTAACACAACAAGAGTAATGATCAATACAAGAATCACAACATACAAAAACTTAATCAAAAGGAACACAAGAACCATACCAAAAYGCAAAGATTGYGACAAATTTTATTCCATGTTTTGCCAATTGGTAACATGAATCCAMTTATAATGTTGAAGGCTGATAAGAAACATTCATTATACCAGAGGTGTTATGAGCATTAAGAGTGGCCCTCAAAGCGCCAGTTATAAAAAACTTTAAYGTTTTGTGTTTAACTTAAACTAACCATCAAAGGTTGCATTCCTCRTCTAAATGCTACAAACACCCATAAYGAACAATATCTGAGTTCTAGATAGTATTTCCKGCATAGAAACGGTGTTTTGACATGTCCTTTTATAAATACTGAAARTACTACATGTATGACTGACTAAAYATGAAATAAATAATWTGGAAATACWATTAAATGTTAGAGTTGTACTCGCTGTTGAGTTGTAGCAAGTAGCTTAAATTCTGAACTCTGAATTTTTAAAAGGGAATTCCCACWGGAGAGGCAGTTCTGCTTAAATTTAGCATTTGCAAGTGGGAAATTCCCACTTCCCAGTACAACTGTGCAGCAGCAAAAATAGCAGGCAAAAAACACAGCGAAATGGAGATTTTACATGGTGGATTTCGCTGGCTGCTGGCTACTGGCTACTGGCTACTTTTGATAACCTGTGCACCTCCACTTAGTGGTGGGATGCCATTATTAAAATAATCAACATTCATTTTAGGAGACTTATTTTAAGGCATTCATACAACTTGGAAGATTTCGTGGGCCACACGAACTGCTGTGGTGGGCCACATTTGGCCTGTGGGCCTTGAGTTTGACATGTTTGAGCTTGGAATGTAAATGCATAGATTTAAATGTATTATTACACAAAGGCAAACCTAATTCACACCATACCATTTAAAGCTGTTGTCATCACATTTCCACTAACAGCTCTGTGTTTTTCCTGCCTGCTCTGACAACAGAATGAGTTTGAAGAACAGGCCACCAGGAAAGTAGACGACCTGCTGGAGAGTTACATGGGCATCAGAGACCTCGAGCTGGGTAAGATTATCCAGACCCATATCTGGAGCAGATCTTGTTCCGAATGGGTGGTAACACGCGAACTATGAAATCTCTGGAATTTATCGCATTTATGCCTCACCACTTCTTTGTTACTCTGGAGGAAGAGAAATTCCCTCTCAAACATGACCACAAACGTTTGTCTGTCATTATGATTAAGTGTCTCCAGAGAAAAGTTGTTATTTTTTCTTTTGGTAGTTATTTTTAGGTCATTTAGTTTTCCTTGATATTTCAAATGATTTAGTGGCTTTTAGCTCTCAAATCTACATACGTTTTTTTTTTATGACAAGAAGCTGTCCCCACAACTTTTATTATTAGCACCCAGCTTAGTGGTTC